GGGTTTGTTTTATCAATGAGTTTAATTAATATAAATTTGGATTTTCTAATTTTCAAATCAGAAGATATTGACATATACGGATGTAAAAATATAATGGTAAGAAAATGAAGCAATTGTAGAGAATTAGATAATTAATTTACGAGTTTGTATCGGTAATTTGTATTTGTTCAGTCCACATTTTATTGAAGTTAGTTGGCAGACATCTTCGGATTTTCTGTTTTTTCATCCACGCTATAAATATTCTACTCTCATTGTATTCCCTAGACAAAAGTCGACTGAGATCATTTGTAACTTTATATGTTTAAAATCAATTGATGATTATATAAAAGTTCCACATTTAACGAATTTTGTAGTACTTCAAAAACAATTTGTCAAACATATTTATGTAATCAACTATAAAATTTAAGAGTATTAGAAAAACCAAATTTAATTATTTCAAATTTGTGGAGTTTCAATCCAGACTCARGATACTTAAATTTTACTTTCTCACAAAGGATTAACTTTGTTGAATATTTACAACTATCATCATATGTCCAAAATCCATTAAAGACGTTTCAACTTAAAAAGTTATTGATGATTATTAGTGTTTCATATATATTTGATGATATAACCACACAAAGCCTTTCTAACACTGGTTCAATTGATTTTTAAGTATATTATACTCACTGTTTTACTTTTAAACTCTAAATTACCTCTCTTGTTCTTTTTTTTCTTTGACAACAATCCACTGAGTCTCTAATTCAAATACTAAAATATGTTAGACTAAATCTATTGATTTCTGATTAATTTTATTTCATTGAAATTAAATATTAAAACACAATGTAAACACCAATCAATCAATGTAAAATAAATTCTATTATTTTATCTTTTTTATGACAACAAAATTCTAGTATTTGTAGTATAACATGTTTGTTCATTCACTTATTATCTTCTTTAACCATATTAATAATCTCTCAACTCTTCTATTATTCTCCACCTTTAGCTTCAAGCCATTAAATTTGTTATCAACCTTGTTTTTTAGATGCCAGTAACATAAAAAGAATATAAATTGACTAATAAAATTTGATGATGTTTAATGTTAGGATTATCAAGTAAAATTCAATGTTTCCAATTTGCTTGTAATTGTAATATCCAGTTATCCATATCTTTCAATTTATCCTTTTAAAAATTAAATGGAAAAGCTTGTAAAAATAGAACAAATTCAACTTTAAAACAGAAATGTTCTGATTAACATAAAAATAATGTTGTTATACAAAAATAAAAGTTCTCTATAAACAAAAAAAGATTAACATAATTTTAAATGTTGATATGGACTTGGTTTCAAAATATTCTGATTTCAAATTTAGCACAAAGTAATCTCTAAGTTACAACAAAATTATTTGTAGCTAACTAAAGTAATAAAAAAAGAAGTAAAAATTACAACCTTGGGGCTTGAACATAGGCGGTTGAGCTCAAAAGAAGCTTGAAACTCTGTATCCATAGAGCTAGGTCTGAATGTAATAATAATTGCCCATATAATAGTATATGAGAGATTGTATAACAATTGAGAATAGGAGAGATTACGTCAATGAATAGCAAATATATTAGGAACAATGGAAAACGAAGAAAAAAAAAAGAAACAAAATTCATACCTCATGTTATAAAGAAAAAACTTAAAAAAAACTAAAAAATATTTCCCCATCTACAAAAAGAAAGTAGCAATAAAGAAAAGTTACCAGCTACGTTTTTGTTAGAATCGATGTTTTATTGTATTCGATGATTAAGACTATTTTAAAAAAATCCTACAAAAAAATAAAAACCCAGAACAAAAGATTAAAATTGAGAAGAAAACTACAGTATATCTTATGTGTATTAGCAAAAACAACGAACAAACGAATGAAGGAAAAAAATAAACACCAACAAAAAAATAGTTAAAAACATTAGAACATAATAGAAAACCTAAAAAAGATGAAAGCTGTAAAATTAGTTTTGCATTGAAATTATGAAATATATGTATTATATAGATATAAAAATTAGGGCAACACATATCTTCTATAATAATCGAATAGAAAAAATA